CAGGGTGGCTCCAGCAGGAGCTGAGAATACTCTGAGGTCTGGCTATGCCTCACCTTCAGACCTGGCCCAGGCAATCTGAGCTGTGCCTCACACAACCACCTGGTCCCCTAAGAAACACCTTCTAGACACTCTTCAGCCAGATTATTAGTTACTTTGAAGTTTCTAGAAACTAAGGGTAAAGATTTGGGGAAGTTAACCTTGAGTCTTTCCTCTGCCTAATCACTCTGCTGCTCCATGGTAACAAGGGCATGGTTCGCCCCACTCTGTATTGCAGCTGACAATGAAGTGGCCTCCTCTGTGCAGTGAATGGGAGTGGAAGTGTGAGGTTTAGGAACATCTTCCTGTCCTCACTGTCATCTTCACTTGTTAAAAGCTCAGCTTGCTCTCCTGCCACGCTTTGTTTCATCTTTCCATAATCATCCTAGAATTTGCAAAGGGTTTCTCTCTTCTTTCCACCCTTTTACATGAACCGTATGGTATTACCCTGGAAATTCTCTTTTCATATGCTAAAGCAATTTGGATAGACTTTTTCAGGAGACAGCCTGGGCCTTACTACAAATTCCTATATTTGAAGGTTAAAAGCTGAATATTACCCCAGTCATTTTTCTGCATTCCTTCTGCAATAATAAATCTTCCCCTAGAAATGTTGCATCAGGCACAGGGGGGTTAAGACTGTACTCTTGGATAAGTGAAAGAGAAATGCATATTAATAAACTTTAAAGTACTTCCTCAGTAATATGCATAAGAGCTCTGAGAAAGATTATGGCACATTTAAGGGACTGCAAGAGACTGATGTGGCTAATAGGTAACAGGAAGACAGGTTCCAGGTGAGCACCAAAGGATATAAAGGAGGCATTAGTCATTAAGAGCTTATTCTAAAGTAATTCAAATGACCAACAAATTTATGAAAAATACTCAACAGCATTAGCCATCAGAGAAATGCAACTCAAAACCACAAGGAGATATCACCCCAACCTAGTTACAACAGTTATTTTCAAAAATCCAAAAAAATAACAAATACTGGTGAAGATGTGGAAAAAATGGAGCCCTCATACACTGTTGGTGGGAGGATAAATTATTACTGCCATTATGGAAAACCAGTATGGAGGTTCCTTGAAAAATTAAAAACAAAGCTACTCTATGATACATTAATCCCACTATTGGGTATATTATCCAAAGGTAAACCAAAGAAATATGTGTTTATTGAAGCATTATTCACAATAACTGAATACAGGAATCAAACTAGATGTCCATCAATGGATGAGTGGATAAAGAAAATGTGGCATATATACACACACACACACACACACACACACACACACACACACA